TAGTGCTCAGTATTATAGTTTCACACTTTGCTAGTCTGTTACATGTGAACATTCTTCATTCATTTAAAAAGTGTACCATGTTTGCTGTGATGCTGTCATCTTTATTTTTTTAGTTATTATGCTTTCTGGATTGCCTGTTTTCTGGATTGTCTGCTCCATGCTGCTGCCCTCAGTCTGTCTGCTCCAAACAGCCACACAGTCCATCTCTGGTCTCTCCAAACTGCTATATGCCACAGGCCAACACCAAACCCCATGTCACCTCTTTCTCACCTCTTATATTTATATCCTCAGAGCCCTAGACCACACCCCTTTCCATGCTGCTCCTGGAAAGCCTTCACCAGCTGGCAAAAGCCACCTTCCACATGAGACAATTAACAGGTGTGGACAAACTATATCCCAACTGAAATCCCACACTTGGGATTAGAACAAAAACATATTTATGTAACATAACTGAATTTACAAAGAAACCAAAACTTTCATTAACTCCGGGTTCCTGCTTCGATTTCTGCCTTAGCTTCCCTGTGTGATAGACTGTATAAGCTCTATCAGACCCTTTCCTTCCCACTTGGTTTTGGTCAGAAAACTAGAGCACTATATAATCCTGGCTAGCATGGAACTTGCTATATAGACCAGGCTGGCCTCAAACTTGAACAATCTTGTGGCTTCTATCTTAAACTCCATGATCAAACCTGAGCCTCTACCACATTTTCTTTATCCAGACATCTGGATAAAGCCATCATTTTTGTTGACATTGTTTTTGTTTCATTTTAGTTAGTTAGTTAGTTAGTTAGTTAGTTAGTTAGTTAGTTAGTTAGTTAGTTTGCTATTGTGATTATTGCATCAGTAAACACAGGAAGACAAAGTCTCTCCATGGTATAATTGACTCAGTGGTATAACTGGACTATGTACTAGCTGTAGTTCTAGGTTCTGAAGACCTTCCACATTGATTTTCATAGTGGCTTTGGAGTTCACATTCCAATCAGCAGTAAATAATGGTTCCTCTCCCCCACATCCTCGCTAGCATTGGTTGTCATTTTGCTTGGTAGCTATTCTGACTGAATGAGTTATGATCTCAAACAGTTTTAGATTGCACTTTCCTGATGGCTGAGTATGCTAAAAACTTTTCCCAATGCTGACTGGTGATGCTGACTGGTGAGTCTTCTTTTGGGAATCCATGATTAGGTTCATTTGCTCACTCATTGATTGGATGATTTGGGGTGGTATTTATTTTTGTAGTTATTTATATAGTTTAGGTATTAAACCTCATCTAATGTATACAGGGCACGGTTGCCCCCATTCTGTAGACAGTTTTCACTTTGGTGAGTATTTCCTTTGCTTTACAGAATACTTTAAATTTATGTAACCCTATTTATCAACTCTTGGGATTATTTCCTGTGCTATTGGAGCCCTTTTCAGAAAGACCTTGCCTATACCCATGGGTTGAAGTATTTTACCTGGATTGTTTTTTTCTTTAGATTTCATTGTTTCATGTCTTATTTTAAGGTCTTTAGTGCATTTTGAATTGATTTTTGTGCCTCGTGAGATTCATTCATAAAGAATGAATCAAGTTTCATTCTTTAACGTGTGGACATCTGGCCATTTCACAATACTGAAAGAGCATGGGAGGTCTCTCCATCTTGTGTGGTCTTTCTTCATTTTCTTCAGTGCTTTAATGCTTTCATCGTGGGTATCATTTATCTCTTTTGCTAGTCTTATTCCTTGGGAGTTTTGTTATTTTTTTTAAAGCTATTAAAATTGAGATTTAAAAAAAAAATGATTTCTTCGCAGGCCAGTTCACTGTTGGTACGTAGAAAGGCTATTGACTTTTTGCATATTGCATGAGGTTGTGCACGTGTTTTGTCTGTCTATATATGTGCATATATGCATGTGTGGAGAGGTGTGCATGCATGTGGTATAGATGGGTGTCTGTGTGTGTGTATGTGTGTATGTGTGTGGTATGCATGTATATAGTAGAAAATAGGAGCAATAGCAGCATATTTTCACCTCAAAGTGAAGCAGATTTTTTCAAACAGTTAGGAGGGAGAAACATCCAGTTTGTAATTACAAAGTTCAGTAAAGCTTTACAGAGACAGAGCTCATCTACAATGGCAAAGCAAGCCCAGGATTTCATGACTATGAGTTGATAGAAAGACAGGTGTTTGTGGAAACCTGTTTATAACTGATGCAGCTCTCAGAGAAGTGGGAGTGAGGCTTCTCTCTGAGGGGATGTGAGGGAAGGTGCCAAAATGAGGAAAGAGGTTCGGAATGTTGGTAAAGGAGGATGGAAGAAAGGACTGAGATGTACAGCTTGACTCCTTGCCAGTACTTTGGGGTCATTTGAAGTTCAAGGTCACAAATCCAAGTTGGTAACAGTCAATTTTCTTACCCATATTCAGCCACACCATGCAGATGCAGAGAGCTGAGTGTGTAGATTTAGCCAGAGCTGCAGTTTTGTCCAGTGAATATCACCAAGGCAAACAGAGGCACGAGAGCCAGTGACATATTCCCGTTGTAAGATCTGACAGTGGGATTGAAGCTGGTGAGGCCAGGCCAGGCATGAGGCTCTCCTGGGCATGCAGGATGATGAAAAGGAGAGAAAATCACTGGGATGAGCCTGAACGGTTGAAGCATTCATTGGATTCAGGTTACAAAAGAGAGTTAGACTGGAAAAACCCGAAGACGGAGCCAGTTTATCTTAGGTAGAACACTCTCGTGACCTCTCTGTGTGGTGGGCCCTGGAGGTGTAGAATCTCACCAAGTGTTTCATTTCCTCCTGTTGCATGAGTTTTGCCACTCAGACATAACCCTCCGATGTTATTTTCCAGAACTGGCATAAATTCTCAGCCTACATCAGCATGAAGGCAGCCGAAGCGTCAATTTCTCAAAAGTGTGTTGTTAAAAATCTAACATGTTTTAAAAGCAGGTTAGTATGTTTTTCCAAAAAAAAAAAAATCAAGGATTATTTCATTACAACTGCAATAGTATTATAGCAAAAAACCGAAACAGTTAACACAACAAATATTTAGAGAGTGCTGATATGTGTCGTAATTTTCAGTTACTTTTTTGTTTGGGGTTGTGTGTGTGTGTGTCTGTGTGTGTGTGTGTGTGTGTGTGTGTGTGTGTACATGCTCCTGAACTTGTTCTTGTGTGGGTACAAGAACCACACAGCTGGCGAGAGCTTTCCCACCATGCCATCTTCCCCACGCCTTCCTGGCTCTTGTGGACCAGGTGCGCTACCTCTACCCCACCGCATCGGTTCACACAGCTCCCGAATCGCTGTTGGTCCCGGGGTGAGTGTCCCAGTGTCCCTCCAACTGCAGTTTCTCGTCCTTGTCACCCTGACCGCTGCTGTAGTGTTAGACCTTTCTCCGTCATCTATATTTGAATTAGAATCGTTTTAAGATATTTTGTGTCTAAGAATGTTTGCAACTGATATCCGCTAGGGGAAGGGAAAGCAGTTTTCTCGGATGGAGTGACGCTGGGTACACCGACCACACTCCGGGGAAAGGCCTCATGCTCAGGGGTAGTTGGCCTTCTGTGTGCTTCTTCATTTGGTTTGGTAGCTTTTCGTTTGTGGCCACTGGTGGTAGCGGTGGTTATTTTGTGATTTTCTTTGTTTTTAGAGAGAGAAAGAACATGAAGTTAGGTGGATAGTATGAGAGGAGCCAGGAGGAGTTAAGGAATGGGAGGACTATAATAAAATATTCCACAATAATTTTTTTAATTTTTTAATTAAATTTTTATTTTTTATATTAATTACAGTTTATTCACTTTGTATCCCAGCTGTAGCCCCCTCCCTCATTCCATCCCAACCCCACCCTCCCTCCTTCATCACCTCCCATGCCCCTCTCCAAGTCCACTGGTAGAGGAGGTCCTCCTCCCCTTCCATCCTGTGAATTTATATCATTATATAATGTACTCTCCATACTCCAGATTATGACTTAGCCTTTTCCCTCTCTTATCAAACCACCTTGCTCATGTTTTCATTATCTCTTGGTAACAACTGTCTTTTTCTGTATGACAAATCACACAAAAAATATACATACATTCCTGTGGGAATGGTTAAATATTTTACATACTTTTCTGCATTTTGTTTACCTTTTCCACCTAACAGTTTCAAAGCTCTAAATTCAAAGGTTTAATTCTTTTTTAATTTTTAAACTTTTATTAATTACACTTTATTCAATTTGTATCCCCCCAAAACCCCCCCCTCCTCCCCTCCTGATCCGACCTTCCCTCTCTTCACGAATGCCCCTCACCAAGTCCACTGATAGGGGAGGTCTCCCTCTCCTTCCTTCTGATCTTATTCTATCAGATCTCATCAGGAGTGGCTGCATTTTTAATTAATTTTTTAAAAATTAAAAATGGTTGTTTTCTACTGAGAAAACATAATTTCGTTTATTTTTTTCTGTCATTAGTAGTCATTGATACTCTGTGCTTCAATCTACTATAAAAATTTATGATTTCTATCACATTCTATCTATCTATCTATCTATCTATCTATCTATCTATCTATCTATCT